AGAACCGATGTCAGTGGTGCAGATGTATACAAACGTTATCCTCATCTTAACGATGCTATACTGAACCTCACCACTTTCTCATTCTTCGTTTCTCTCTTTTCGTACTTTATATTTCTTTTGACTGCATTCTCTTATCTTCATCTTGCGCCTTACTGCCTTTTTACTTGATGTACTGATATGAGGTGTGGCAACTCGGACCGTTACGCAGTAATGCCTGGTCCTAGGTTGATCTAGATGGATGGATGGATGGATATGCGTCAACAAAATATCTCCAGTAAAATTTGAGCGATAATGAGTATAACCGCAATTTCTATGAATCCGGTGAATGCTAATAAGGAATGTTAACGACAAGAAAAAGCCGGAAATCAATCAGTATTGAACTCTTGAACTACTTAAATCCATTTGATAAAAACCTTAGTAACATTTAGTGATTACTTCGTTTGCATTTATTATGACCTCATTAGCATTTACAGAGTTTATCTATGGCAATATAATGTGAGCTGGCACTTAGTATTCCTCATGGTCTGTGTGCTTGTTAGTAGAACCAATAAACTCAGGACTACGTAAATCTTAGGGCATCAAATCTTTTGGACCTCTGGCTTAGGGGTTTAGAGAGATGACTACCAACCAGTAAGTCACGCGTTCTAACCCCACTCCATCTACTGAGGTTTGGGCAGCTAGGTAGCATCACTAGCCCTCACACAATAGACGTGTCCATCAAACCTCATAAAATCCTGCAGCTCCAACTCGACAACTTATTCTCCTTAACAACATAAATCTCCGGCTCACAAATTAGTATAAAGTAATGTAGTGTAGTGATATATTCATATTATCACCTAGTATAAATACTAGGCTGATAAACCACAACTATCTCAGATAGTCAAAACTAGTGCTCCCACTGTCTAATTCAGTTAGATTTCGACTAGAATGAGAACTCCTGATTAGGCAGCCAATGTGAGTACGGTCAAGCGATAGTAACGCATCACAAATTCACATGGTAGTCGGGTAAAACCCTGTCATGTGATTGAAGTGAAATAAAAATCTGGTCAGCAGTGGGGTATAGTGGCTTGGTTGGTCGAATATCGGGTGGGAAACGCGGTGGTCACTGGTTTGAATGCGGCAGCGGTTCAAGTTTGCCTTTCACCTTCAAATATATCCATTGATGACCTCTTCTGTTCTGTAAAACTGTTTTCTTGAATTTATCATCTACATTAAATAATCACACCAATAATAAATGGATAAGATTGAAAATAAACTTTTTCTATCCAAAAGAAAAGAAGAAAGAGATGTATTCTGAAAAATTAAAAACGTATCTACTAATATTTCTTTTAATCTTTCAATTTAATCATTAATGCTTTATTCCTACCAACTTGATTCAATGTAGACAATTTTAAAAAAAGAGAAAGAGAAAGAAAAGGCGGTATTTTGACATTTTGATCAAGGTGAATAAATACTACTCTGTATTATTCCTTCCTATTGCAACTGCCTTAGTAAGACAGTAGCAATAGTAGTAATGATAATAATGCCAATGATAACAGTCACGATAACTGTTCCCTTCGTTTCACGTTATTTCTAACAACCATAGCAGAACAGAAACACGTATGCATGCACACACATACACACACACACACGTATATGCATGAAATCAACATTTACTCTTAGGGACTACACGAATTGCAAGTATAAATCACCTGTCTTCAAGAATACTGCACATTTTTTGTTGTGTTTTGCTGCATTTCATTTTGTTGAAACTGAAACAAGTATACACTTCATTTAGCAGGTGAATACATTACAGTTCAGTGAACGTAGTCATCATCGTCATCAACTGTATAGCATAGAAAACATTCTGACTACTAAGACTGACTAAGAGAAAACAATATAAAATCTAGTGTAATACAGTATAGTCTGAAGTAATTCTATTTGAAAATATTCGATACGAAATTTGACCAGTTAAATAAACCACTTTATAAAAAGAAAAACAAAAGAAGACTGATATAAGTGATAGATAGTTGCTAGCAGTTGAATCCAACTGGATGTGAATTTCGTATTATTTAGGACTCGTCAGCTGGATGTACCTCCCTCCCAATAACTGAGGTTGGTCCCGCTAAAACTCAAACGCCGAACCGATCGCTGCAAACACCCAAGAGTTCTCCACTAGGTCACCACGTCACGATAACCACTTCTTGTGCAACGGATACAGTTTATTTGATATTGTTACTTACATTATCCCATTGTTGACTGGATGGGACTGATTGGTCTCTGAGTTCGTATGTGGATGCCTCGAAATTGCTTGTCGTTTCAATTATATGTTAATGATAGAAAATGGCTACCAGCAGAATCCAGGACACTTTTCTTTCTTCAGTAAAGCATTTTTATCATTTTAGGAAAGCTCAAGTCCTTTCGGGGATTGGAAATAGTTTTGTCAATGATTTCATCAGATCTCCAAAGAAAATTTGTAAGGAACATTCAAACCCTCCCAAATAAACCGTTCTCATATACCCAGTGGAATACTTTTCAACAACAGTAGATATTGTGATCTGTCTTCTAAAGTTAGCTTCTCAGATGTATATTAAACAGTGTAGCGTAATTTTGGCGTTTGATTTTCAGGTCCTAAATAGCTCGATGACGTAGACTTGAATCACTGAGGAGCTACCAGTTTCCTGAATAGTTGTAGATAGGCCACGCTAATAAGCGTCATCAAGCACAAAAGTCAGATTAGGTTAACCTTCCCGATGATTCACTCTCAACATGTGCCACCATAATGTTATGCCTCTTCTTTTAGTGGTAACACTAAAGACTTGTCTGTTGAATTTTAGAGTGATGAATCTGTGTTTTTAGCTTAGTAGCCTTAGATTTAGACCATCCCTCCTTCAAATTCGAACTTTTTCCACTTGCTTCAATATAAATATAAATTCTATGTTCAATTATATTGTTGTCATCAACCTGATATTTCATCAGCAGAAAATTCAATGTAAGTGAACAGCAATCCATCTTATTCCATCAATGAGTAAATGGGTATGACGCAACTATTTGAGCAAACAAAGCGACCAATGGATATAACAATAACTTTAATTCTCCCAAGTAAAATATTATGCCGCATCATCCTGGAGAGACTAAAGGCTGCTCTAGATTCAAAGCTACTACCGGAACAGGCTCGCTGGCTTCAGGAGGTACAAATCATGTGCGGACCAAATTGCAAACCTAGACAATACCCATCATCATAGGACAGAGCATGCAATGGCAATCAACCCAACTCTACCTCAACTTCACTGACTTTGAAAAAACCTTCGACAGCGTCGACCAACAAGTAATTTGATATCTGCTTCAACACTATGGAATACCAAAAACCTTTATCAACCTCATTCAACAACTATATGAAGATGCCACATGTCAAGTAATTCACAATGGAAAGCTCAGTGACGCGTTTGAAGTGAAGAGGGGAGTAGAACAAGGCTGCCTACTATCACCCATGATATTCCTGACTGTGGTCGACTGGATCATGCAACAGGCCATGAGAAGTAAGAAGAGGGGGATAGGCTGGACAGATGAAAGGACCACAGAAAAAGATTTGGATTTCACCGATGACTTATGTCTAATGTCACCCAAAACTTGAAGATCTATAGGCAAAAACTAACAAGTTGATAGAAGGGGCAGTGCATCGAAGACGGGACTTCAAGTGAATATAAAGAAGACAGAGGTGATGATGATACCCAACGAACAACAGCATCTACAACAAGCACCAATCACCATCACCAATGGGAGAAACTTAGAGGAAGTAGCCTCTTCCACCCAGCTTCCTGGGAAGGTAGCATCATTTCAACTATAGATGGCACAGGCATAGACGAGGACGTCAAAGTCAGCCAGGATCGGAAAGACAGCAACACAGGCGTTCATTAACCTGAAACCAGTGTGGAGATCTTCTGCACTCCACTCAGCATAATGCGTGAACAACATCCGGATTTTCAACACTAATTCAGTCAAGTCAGTGCTTCTATATGGTTCAGAAACTTGACGCGCCACGAAAAGCATTGCCAACAAATTACAGATATTCATCAACAACTGCCTACACTGGCTCGTTACTGAAGCTCAGATCGGAAGGCGAGAATAAGAAGAATAAGCAACAAGGAACTTTGACCTGACAAGGAACCAACGAAGCAAGGAGCTGTCGCTCAACAAATATGCACTGGAAGGAAGTGGAAGTGTAGATGGGTTGGATTGGACATACACTGAGGAGACCGTTTGGGGACGCGTGCCAGGCCCTTGAGTGGAACCCAGATGGGAAACGGCGAGTTGGGCTTCTGAGGTTGGGAGATGGTGTGAGGAAGAAATGAGAGCTTCTGGGCAGTCGTGAAGCCAGGTTGAAAGATTGCAGAGAAGAGAGTGGAATGGAGACGTGCTACTGGAGCCGTATGTTCCACTAGGAACCCAAGGGACAAAAATTAATGTAATAATAATAATAATAATAATAAGTAACAAATGGCATGGATATAAATAAATTTTAAATTAAGAATTGAAACCTGGCATATACAAAACGTATGACAAATATCAAACCATCTCGTAGGCATCTCTACCATACACGGGTTAGTGACACGCAAACACTGGAAACCTCATTAGTATTCAGTGCTAGATAAGTTACAGATAGAAGTAAGGAGAATCATATTAAGTAAATGATAATTTGTAGAGGGATTCATTCAGAAAGGTTATATATTTGCTTCTAGTGAATAATGATGTTGTAAAATGTCTCTACGAACTCAATAGAATCTCAACTTCTGATCATAGGATTCAACTACATTAGCTGTTAAGATATTTCTGAATGAAACAAATGATCAAACATGCTTCAAATTAACTTACTACCAACGATCTTCTGCTGCCGAACAGTATCGACTAATAACTGACTGTGGGACTTTATACTATTCATGATCTCTATTTCAAACCTTTTTAAACTCTTATTTTTATATCTCTTCAATAATCTTTCTCTATATGTTTATCATACTTTCTAGAAGTCGAATACTCAAGGAACGAGCAAAACGTGTAGCTGAAGAACGTTCTGGTATCACTACAGATGATGATGCAATGAGTGAATTAAAAACTGGTCGTTATTGGAATCGTTCAGAGCGTAAAAAACAATTAGAAAAAGCTAAAGCTGATAGAAAACGTAAACAAATGTCAACATTACTACGTCAATCTTCACAAGATCGTGGTACAGATATGAAATCTTCACATAAAAATTCACCTATACTAAATACAAATGTTAACAATAATAGTACAACGAAATTAGTTACTATGACAACTGTGTAAAAACAGTGGTTACATTTGTATATTTTACACTTTAGAATTTAACTAAGTGTTTTTTTTTGGAAACAATACTTTCGTATGAAAGTTAAGCTATTTCTGGTTAACTTGTGATCAGTAACAGATTCATGTATATTTGAGTACACAAAACGCATATACAAATAACACAAGATATGCAGATCATAGACTGTACTTGCCACCAATGAATGGTACCTGGTTTACGAGTATATACGTATAAACAGATGATTATAACTTACAGATAGATTAAGGAAACATAAACATCTGATACCTTATTCATTATAATTCATTGTATATACATAATCTATCTACTCTATGCAGATATACCCTAATGGATAGATGTTATAAAGAAAGTTAAATTCTTAAGAATTTCAGTCCCTTCTTTACCTATCTATTCATCATTATACAAGTATATATTCATTTGATCAATATGTAACGTAAAAATAACCATTGATTGTTTTAAATTAACTCTGTCAGTAAAAAATTATGCATTTAACTTTGACTGAGTTGATCACAGTATACATATTTATAATAAACAATAAAAATTTAATTGAAGTGTTTTCCTCTAGACAATCATGTAGAATTAGTGATCAGAGATGCGTTTGAAAAGACTGCACTTGTTTGGACTATATAACTAGCTCCACAAAAACGTGTAAACTGAGCTGTGCATGAGAGTCAGAAGAATATGTACAAATGATACATTAGACGATGAGTTGGAATACCTTCGGAAAGTACTTCAGAATGTCTATTCTTCGAGGTTCAACGTGAAGCCAAAAAACAACGACAAGAACAATTTCTTACTGTTCGTAAGAAAACTTTACTAATGAATAACATATTCAGAGGAGAAAATTTAGCAGAAATACTGAAGAATGTGACACTGACAAAATCAAAGTAGAACCTCGTACACAGATGCATCAGTTCAAGTTGCTACACTTCACAGCAGAACACAAAGAACAGATGGGTAGAGAAGCAATGGCATCAAAGATGAAGTAGCTAAGGTAAATAAACAATCTGAAGATAAAGGTTAATGTGAATACTCAAGCTTTGGAAGTTATAAACATGTGAATACATCTGCACCAGTACGAATGATTTTCAGTCATGTCAACAATAGTCCTCAATCACTGATTCCCTTCATCTCAGGGACCCCAATCAGGCAGTTTAAATCGCCCCACATGACTCAGAGGCTTCATGGAGTCGTGCCAAGTCTTCGTCTGGCCACCGTCAACCCTTTCCCAACCTAATCTAACTTCCCCTACCATGGAATTTTCAAGTAGGCGGTGACTTGGCATGCGGTACATATGTCCAAATCACCTCAGTCGACTAAGGGTCACAACCTCATCAGTTGACTTGCCTTATACCCTTCACCGACCTCAACACCAAACGTTAACAATGCTGCGAGGATATCTGCGGTCAAAACCTTGTAACCGCTTCATTTCGTCTACTTCTAACGGCATATCTCAGGCGTACAACAGGACGGGAAAGAACGAACTGCAGCTCAGTCTTTTGATAGATATTCACATGTCTCGCCGTTGCCACACAGGGTGCAAATCGGCAAATACCAAACAGATCTTCTATATCCCAGCTTGGATTTCGTCAGCAATTAACCCGATCGAATTGATGTGATTGACATATTCCACTACTTTACCCCTTATCATGAAACTAGAAGTGATTACAGTAGAGCAGTCCCAAAGCACTTACATTTGGTAGGTGCGAAACGCATGACAAACCTACTCAGATTACCGCTCAAAGAGTCCAGAAGATCTTGCATTTTGTCAGCGTCGTCGACTAAATGACCTCCAGGAAGTAGGTCAATCTTTGTGAAGTCAGAAGTACATAGGGTTATATCCATTAGTACTGAAGAATCATTCTACAAGCATTCAGAAAAAAACATTCTAGGCGGCATAACTGCGAATTGTATTCTATAGCTGACAATTAATTCAAGGTAGTATGAAGGATAAATTGCCACTTTAGGCCACATTCATATATATCTATTAGTTGACCAACTCTTGTTCAGCTGGTTATGTAGGCTACACAAAGCCCAGTTTTTCCAAATGTATCTCCTGGAAATAAACCTAAATGTCCCGATCATATTACTTTCGACAATATTTCATGTTTTCTTTTCTTGCTTTGTTCTTCTTTTCAGTGTATATCTACTATTTTTTATGTTTTTCCACAGAAAACATGTCATCATTAGGTGGGAAAGAACAAGTATTCACTAAGGAACAAGAAAAAGTAGTAAAGAATATTATTTTATTCATTAAATTAATGAACACAAAACGGGGTCAATAACAAAGTGATTTTTTTCTTTTTTTTGGAATTATGACAGAAAGTTAATTAACATTACGTTTCTAATGAATCCTCAACATCAATCTGCCTACATACATAAAATAATGTTAAAATTCGAGTAAACTGATCAACCGAAGTAAAAAAGTATACAGACAAATATGAGTGTTAATTAATGCCAACTTGATAAAATGAAACCAGCTAATCTGGAAGATCAAGATAGACATTGGTAAAAATCAGTTTCAACATGGCTAGATTGATATACTTGAAAAAAAAACTCATAGAAACTTTATATTTGTTATTTATTACCAAGTTGCACTGAAAATGATGCTTAGCATATCACCAGGGTATAATATTATTGACCAACATTCAATTGAACCAATGAACATAGAATGATTGAACTAATATCTGCTTAGTGATGGCTAACAGTGGAGTCAAGAATGCCCATTTCTTGCTGTTTGTTGCTCATTATCTTGTTTTACTTACATCTCAGTAAGTGAAGGTATTCCTACAGAGGATCAAAACCAGTATTCATAGCATCAAATGCCAAAACAGATGTATTCAGCTGATGCGTCTCATGTGCGTCCTGGATTCTACTGTTAGGCCAACTTACCCATCAAACTGTATCATGATTAACCCGTAAGTAATATTCAGATATTTGCCAATAGAGATTGATCTACTCAGCTCTGTATAATAATAATCAACAAGAAAACGCAGGTATTTATGATTAAATGGATCCGTTGGAGACTGAAACAAAACTGAGATCAGGTCAGCAGCTAGATGACACAGTTTAATTGGTAGGGTGCTGGACTAGTAACCTGGGAGTCACTAATTCGAATTATGCTGCGATTCAAGTTTTTCTGTCATCGTTCTAAATATGGGCACACACAAGGTTAGTCATTATTCCCCGAACTACAAATCACGCTCACAGCCTGATAAATAAATCCCTGAGTGGCCAGTGAAATATAGATATCTAACTAGAATAAAATGCACACAGACACCGGAAGCCAATACTTTATTGCTCAACGTTTTTTAACTCACAAAACCTGTTGCCTCAAGTCAACTGTTCATCTCATATAAGTGAACTCATTCTGATAATCTGAACCCCCCCCCCCCCCCGACCAAAACACCTCATGTGAACAAATGCAGAGTCATCGACCTTTCTCACTCTTTTATTCGTCTACTCAGAACAACGTTCTATGATGTGACGCATATCAAGGTTTGTATTTATCACTGAACATGAATCCAATAAAATAAAGCTGGTGTCAAGAAATGTGATATACAAAAAGCTGAATTATCTGAATCCCGATTGATATCTTCGCTGTGCGAAGTCCAGCGAACGGTTAATTGTGATTGCTCTCACTCACTTTTATTATTGTATTATTTGTCCCTTAGATTTCTAGTGGAACATACAGCTTCAGTAGTACGCCTCCATTTCACTCTCTTCTCTGTAGTCTTCTTAACCTGGCCGCAAGACTGCCCATAACCTTTCATTTCTTCCTCACACAATCTTCTCCATGTCACCCCCACCTCAGAGGCCCAACTAGTCGTTTCCCATGCGCGTTCCACTCGACTGCCTAGCCTGATGCGTGATGTCCCCAAACGGTCTTCTCAGTGTATGTCAAATCCAACCCATCTACACTTCCTTCTGCATATTTGTTGGGCGATGAATTATTGGTTGGTTCCTTGTCAGGTCAAAGTTCCTTGTTGCTTATTCTTTCTGGCCATCTGATCTTCAGTATCGAATATTCCGTTAGTTTGGCTGAGACAGACTCATCATGACCTGATATTAGCTAGAGAACCACTAAGAGCCAGGGAGCACCTGATATCTGCTTCCTTGTTGTTTGCTACTTTTCAACAGCACCCATACACAACTCAAAACGGAACAGAAGCCAAGCTGACTGTTCATCTTGTATCACGAGAAAGTACAAAAATGGACAAAAAAAGAAATTCAGCCTAAATCAAGCACTAGACAGCTACTTTGTCCTAGTATAGGACCTCTCAGCAGTATGCACCCATGACCCCGCCCCACCACGTATCGAACCCAGGACCTTCAGGTCCCGCTGCCAGCACGTTGCCAATGGGTAACTGGGTCGGGATCCTATGGTCGAAATTTCCAACTGTTGTCAGTTCACGGGATAGCGCAACCATCACCCAATATCATTGTTGAGTATTTGTCCTCACGTCCACCAGGTTTGCCCAACGGGTCATAACTTCTCATTAGAACTTCAAGAATCACCACCTCTCGAAGCACGCCACAAATTAGCACTAGAATAATTTTATTTGGTGGTTGGTATTCAACATGGACTGATATAAGTTGGAGGGACGCTGAAAACCTGAGACCACTGGGTAGCTGTTTCGTTCCAGTATTCAGTAAACAACTCATACATGTGTAATGAAACGATAATCTCTAAATAAATTTGACAAGAAGCATTCATAATAAATAATAATAATAATAATAACAAAATCAGTGAAAATAAACAACTGATGGATAGATCAAGCAAGTGAAAGACAACAACTAAAAAAGAGACAACGAAAAGTAAACAACTCGCTACGAGGTCACGATAATGTTTATTATTGTTATTATTTGTTTCTTCTAAAGAAAAACTGTTCTGATGTGTAGAAGCATAATACAATAATACAAAAATATAAAGCATAAAGTACAGTATTAGTTGGATAACATAATTTTTGGAAAAATGACAAAGATAACTAACGCATACACAAACAAACAATTCAAAGACAGAGGAAAAAGAAAAAAAAAACAGTTCAACTTTTCAAGATGAGTGAATGTCAAAAATTGTCATATTTCATGTTTTGAAAACAGAAATAAATAAATAAATATAAACAAGAGGTCAATTGAATCAATTGGTCAATCTGGTTTATTGAAACATTGAATCATGATGTGAATACAGAGCACAGTCAATGAGTGAAGTTGATTAATCTGATAGAAATAAATAAGTGTATTTTGAGGTGAATAGACATGGGTGTCTTTTTTACTCAAATAAAATGCCTTATATAGAACTCCTATACACGTTGATCATTTGACAGTAACTGAGGTTACTTTGCTAAGTCCTAAGAAATGTCGGAATTCTATCGAACAAGTTAATAATTTGACTACAATACCTGTCATTCCGAAACACTTTCCGGGGTCAACTCAATGTGGTTAATTCAGTACATTAGGAAGTTAATCATAGATATCGATCTATACAGAGATAACATTTTCACAGGATTTTTAAGTATGCTTTCTGAAAAGTGTCATCA